TGCTTTTTCTCATATTTCCCATTATTTAGCAACGAATTGTCTTGAATCCATGTTCAACTTGCAAAGCCTTGCGATACAACCACTCAATTGAAGTAGCGTCTGAACTCCTTCCAGAATCTTCATATGCGTGAATCCAATTTCCTTGATGAACTCTAATTTCGAATGCTCACTCAAGGTATTGACCGTCTTCGTAACTCTGAACATAGTGCTGATGATATCGTGGCTCGAATATCCCAACCCCCATAACTCATTTAATGTCTCTAATGCAGAGTCGATTTTGCCCTCGTAACATGCCTTTATCATAGCTTGTACCTTGATAGGGTGAGGTGAATCCACAACCTTGAAGACATTATCTCCGTTGACGAGTCCAAAACCAGCAAAAGTGGACTGCAAATTATTGATAGCCTGGCGCATGTCTCCCTCTGCGCTGAAAACCAATGCAGCCAATCCATCATCACTATATTCCACCTTCTCTGTCTCAATAATTTGTAATAATCGTTTGACCACTTGCTGATCCGTCAATCTCGCATATCGCAAAATTGCACATCTGGATTGTAAGGGCTCGATAATCTTATTCGATTGATTACATGCAAAAGCAAATCGTGTAGTCGAACTGTATATCTCCATTGTACGACGCAAGGCTTGTTGAGCTCCAGATGTCATACTATCCGCTTCATCGAGAATAACGAGTTTATGGCGACCGGCTGGGAGTGTGACTTTCTTCTGTGCAAATCCCTTGATACGGTTGCGCACAACGTCGATACCTATTTGTCTATGTATTAGCATAATTGACCTGTGAATTTGATAAAAGTTACATACCTCTTTCGTCACTAGCATTCAATTCCAATACAGCCTCCTTGTATGAATCTCCCAACAGTTGCCTAGCCAGACACAGCACACTCGTCGTCTTTCCAATACCTGGCATACCAGAAATAATAACGTGCGGCATATTTCCATCTTTTGCTATAATCTTTAGTCGTTCTATTGTCTCCGTATTTCCTACCACATCATCGAGGAACACCGGTCGATATTTCTCAACCCTAGTTACTTCTAATGAGCCTACTATTCTTGCAGGAGAATCTAGAGAACATACCAGGGCAATTCATAATTTGTAACTCCATTAGTGTTAGCTTTCAGTGCTTTCTTTGCAGCACTGGTCGAGGACTCTCCAACTTCTGGGGCTTTGCTGGTCGTCATGTTGAAATTTTTGCTAAATGTTGAGTGAGGTTGACGCGTCGGAACTGGAGAGACGCGATTTTCAATTTACACGACCGTGAATATTTAAGCCACGTGATTGATTCATATCCACAACCACGAGTCCACAACCACAACTTTTGAAGGAATGCAATTCTTCGTATTATTTTTAGACAATCCCGTCACGAGCTTGACTACATGAGACTATACAACAGAAATGTTGAGATCATTGACTAAAATTATGCCTAATCTGTTAAGCAGCAATAGCCTATCCTCATCCTTCAGATGAACCACTCCTTTTCACGTCCATGCTGTTATCTTTTTTCTTCCCGCTGTCTTTCACAATGATATTTGCGCCATGTTCTTGATTCAAATTCGAAAGCTCGAGTTTGTAGAAACATGCAATGTCCATAGTTGGAAGGCCATGCTGACTAAATACGAGTACATCCATCCATCACACTCACAGGGTGACTCACTTGAAATTTTAAGTCAAACTAAGTAGTGTTGCTATGGATATTTAATAGTGACTTATCACTGAATTCACTGGACGACCTTTATGATCGGAGGACATTTGATCTTACACTTCTGGAGAAGACTCTTCGCGATGTGAAATTCATTTGTTACATATACCATACTCTCAAGGTCTTTTTAGATGAGTATCTAGACTTTACTTGATGGCAATCCAATCATACAAGAATTTTCCTTTCCCAAAAGGTCTTGTCGCACATCTGGAGGACATTCTGACCTTCGCACCCCCGATGTGTTTGGGAATTTGAAGACGGAGTTGTAATCAAGGTGCCCCTCTCGTAACGAATTCAAAGTTTCGGGGAACTTGAAAGGAAAAAGGGGCAGCTGCAAGCTTCGATTTCTGTTTACCTTTATGTTTTTTCGTTTACGTGCGGCTCGTTTGATCTTGCGACTCGACTTCAAGGAGCGAGGTGGAAGAATGAATTGGTTAAAGTGAAAGCGAAGTGTTGTCCAATGGTGTTACGTCGGGCGGGCACTTAGATAGCAGATTGATGCAGACACCATATCAGAAAATAGCCCCTCTGTGGTTACAGAAAGTTCAAAAACGAATAGCTCGAAAGGAACAATAGTTTGTGTTGTTCTTACCCACCACCTTCTTTGCTCATAGTAGCCATTGTAGCGAAACGCCATTTCAACAGTATCCTGACGGCCTCTAGAGTCTTCACAATCTTCTAATAGAAGTCTTTTTCAACGCCCACTTCACTAAAGTCTCGATTAGGATACTTCTTTTCACCATCTCACAAAATTTCCTGCCTTTCGCTTCCGCACCTGTTCGAAGATATCTCTTTATATCATTCCCTTGCAAGCAAAAAAACAACACATCTCTATATGCCACATGTTTTTCGAGAGAAGCCTCAGCACTACATACAAGATTTTGAACACAGTAAACTGCCGCCTATCCAATGTACAGCTTCAACTTTCTACGCGAAATGAAACCATCTCTTCCATTTCCACACCAACCCCCAACCCCCAAACACAGACGACAACCCGGTAAAAATGATCAACGGTCCATAACTCGTCCCATACCCAAAATGACTCAAACCCGTCCCTCCACTCCCCGCTTTCAACAAAGGCACGCCCGCTAACCCACCACTCACATACCCAATTCCCCTCGCTCCATTCAAAAGCCCATAAAGCACACCCATATCAATCGGTTCATTTCTCTCCGCGGCTTCGCGCTCCATCTCCTTAAGAATCCCGCCCCATGTCGCGCTATATCCACCGGCGAAAAACCCGAATGTTAGAGAGAAGAGAATTAGTAGTTTCATGCTTCCCTGAGATGTCAACCCCCAGAATAGGAATGCGGATAGCGCGGATGCGAGCGCGGAAATGGATGTTACGGCTGTGGCGGAGAGGGGGAAATGTTTATTATCACTTAGGTAACCGAAGAAGAAGGAGGAGAGCACACCGGGGATATTGAAGAGGGTGAGTAGGAGAGTCGCGGTGGTTTGCGAAAGAAGTGTGACGTCGTGAGCGTAGGTGTTGAGATATGTTTGCGGGATTCCGTAGCCGCTGCTTTGGAGGATGATGGCGATGGTGTAGACCCAGAAAGTCCGATGATGGAGGAACTCCCAGGGGATTTTCCGGGTTCGTTGATGTGGTGTGGACATGTTGGAGGGGTGGCTGGGAATGAGATAGATGGCGGGGATACTGGTTCCGATGAGGAGAGCTGCCCAGATGCGGAGAGTAGTGCGGAATCCATAGGTGTCGAGTAATACGCGCAGCAGAAAGGGACATGCGGAACCGACGATGTTTTTGCAGGATAGCACGATGCCGTATGCGATAGCGCGGTTGTGGGTAGAATACCATTCTCCGAGGGTGAGGGTGGTGGGACTGTAGATCAGGGCGCAGCCGAAGGAGGAGAGGATGCCTTGGGTCACCACTAGATGCCAGACGTGTGTACTCCATGCTGAGAGCACGAAGCTGAGACAGGCGAGCAGGGTGCCGGCGAGAGCAGCGGTTTGTCGATAGCGGGCCCAGCGATTGGTGAAGAGGAGGAAAAGCAAGGGCATGGAGAGATACATGACGCCGTTGGAGGTGGTACCGATGATACCAGTTATGGCGAGGTTTCCTTGGAGCGTCCAGTTTGTAGAGTAGTATTCTTGGAGGACTCCGTAGTTCATGGCGAAACCTGGGGGCTGTTAAAAAATGGAGTTGAGGGATGAGGGGGACGGAGATGGAGATGGAGATGGAGATGAAGACTTGCCCCATATGGGTAATTGTAAAATTGCGGATCCGATGAGGACGGATGCCCGTTTGTGCTTTGATTCTATCTGTCTGGTATCGATATCGGAGTGAGTGGTTTCGAGAGTAAATGATTCTCGATCATGCGTCATGTCTCCTTGTGAGGTAGCTATACCTCGAGATGCAATTGCACCCAGAGAATCATTATCACGTTCCATCGTTTATAGAAGCGATGTCTATTGAGTTATTGGTATAGATCGTTCATCTGATGATGATATCTCTACTTCATGTTTGAATAGTGCTACCGTCTGATAAGCGGGGTACATGATGTGCATGTCACGGGACTTCTGTTGAGATCCTTGACTTCCAACGCTCATCGAGCATCTCGATAAATCTACAGCAGAATTGGTATTACTTTTTTGCCCATCAATTCAAATACCAGTCTTGAAGCCAGAAGATCCATTTCATATCTAAAGGATCCATAATTTACGGTCACTATAAGCGCCGATTCGCTAACTAAAGAATCGTTTTAACAAATGTGTTACTCATTTTGAGTCTTGACTGTTCAGAAATCTCATATACTTCAATAACCAAGAGTATTAAAAGTTTTACTGCATATCTTATAGCCGACTTGAATCTGCGACTTGAATTCGCTTGAAAAAATTCGAGTAATTGCATTGATTGAAGAAGAAATAGTCCAATAGCTACTCATACATTTAAATTTGAAGTCCGCTTCTAGTTCTTTGAGTGAGAATCTTACAATGGCTCAAGAAACAAGCTATGATGGAGATGAATCAAAGAATATCTTACATCGAGTTTTTCGACGTCTTCTTCCCCCGTCAAAATTGACATTCTTGCTGTGCTCTCCATCTTCTCCGACCCCATTTCATCCTTCAAATCATTTATACTTTCCACCCCCAGCCCTCACTCCTCCCACGCATGTCCCCCTTTGAGAACTCCCCACGATAGAGGTCGCCTCTCCAGCCTCGCATCTACAACACATCCCCTATTTCAAAACACTTCAAACGCGCTCCCCATTCCTAATATCTATCCCTCATGAACAACCCCTTCTTTGATCTCATTTGATTTTTTTCTCATTTTCCTCTATCCAGATATTGGATACTGTGACCATGATATAGTGCACAAAGTAAAGGTGTAGCGATACTTGTTTCATAACTCATGGCATCTTCGTCAGAGCCATAGCTGAGAAGTACAACAACAGCAGGTTGGAAACTAAATAGAGCGGCAATATAGAGGAGGGAGGCAAGAAGCGGTGGCCGAGGTTGTAGTCCGAATATACACACGAACATTCTTGAAGAAATATATAGAATCTCGAAATCCTTCTTCATTGTGGCTATCTCTTCCATCTCCTCCCTCGTATTCAGCGCCGTCCGAGTTGTGCCTTCCACGAGTCTCACCAAGTTTCCGAAGCAAGAGCCGTATACCTCCATACTACGATACAGTGCCAAATCTTCATTGTTGCTTAAAGTCCACCTTCCTTTTGGAAAATACGTAAGTCCTCTCTGCTCCCGAATCGCTTTGAAGATACTTCGATCTTTAGACCCGAAGTCGAGAAAGCATGGATCCACCTGCTTCTGCGATTCGTCAGTGTGCCATTCCACTGCAAGTTCGTCCTGGTTAACTTTCTACAAGTTATACAGTTCGAGTAAACATGCATAAATATTCCTCGCTTGTGAAGATCATAATCCAGCAGCACGTCGGATTGGTTCCAACTCCTTTTGGATATTCTGGAACTGATCATGGTCGTTGCCAACCCCTCTGGACGTGTTGCTATGACTCGTTTGGAATCATTCGCCCCAAAAACCTCTGACAGCAAACTTGGCTCAGCATTCTCATAGAGGAGAATAACATGGAAATTTCAAACCAAGAACTAGCCGCAGCAATGGATGACGCTTGAAATTAAAGCCGTTTGACAGAAATTCGTACCATCACGAAAAATAGATTTAGAGACATATAAAAATCAGTTCTCTTTCTCATCAATCAACCACCCACCCAACTTTCCCGACGAACAACTACGCATTCTTCAGCCAACTCAACAAATCCACTCATGGCCTTTCATCCCATCCCCAATGATCCCACGCATACATAACTTCCGACAATACACCTAGTGAGCTCCCCCAATTTCCTGAATTTCCTCAAATGAGCGTACAGTGTAAAATTAAGAGCACATCTCGTCCTCGTACCAAACAAAGAGCTATTCAGATACTCCATTATCAACATCTCATCTAGATCTCTCACTTGAAAATCTTCACATGAGCTTCGAACTTCGAATTATAAGGTCAAAATTGGGCATGCACCCAAGTGAGCTTCGAATTCGATTCACCCTCCTTGAACTTCACCCCAGTGAACGCTGTCTCTATCAAGCTCATCTCATATCGACAAACACTGAACTCTTAGACCTATCCGCCTGCAACATCGGATGATAGTATTCAATTAGCAAATCCCAGAAACACGATTCATGTGTAATAATATTCTCCATTAATTCATTTCATCCATTAAAATCCCTATACAATCTACCTCTTTCTCGTTTTGTCTATTCCAAAAACCCCTAACCCATAATTACAAATATCATATCATCTTACCATATTCCCCGGTAATCCCATGCCGAATCCCAATGCATATAAACAATCACACCGAACGATCCAACAATTCATATCTATCCTTCCCACTGACTCTTCTCCAAAGAGCCATTCCCCTTCTCGACGATTTACCCGATCGCACCACCCACATATTCCACGCCAACCACAGAAATCCACCTACGACTCCCGCAATCGCAAAACCCGCAACCGTGAGCAAAAACCAATGTTTGCCCATCCAGAAAATCGTCTGTGCGTCTTTTCCATGCCAGCTGTTGCCTTTGACGATGTTGAAGAAACTCCATGCGTGTTTGTTGTATTCGTCTGGCATGAGATTACGCACGCGGCCTGCTTCGTTGGTAACGGTTCGCATGTATTCGATCCAGAGGACTGAGAGGAAGAGCGGGCCGGTGCTGTACATGACGGTGATGTATGGCATGCCCCAATTTCTATTATATGCTTGGAGAGATTCGATGACGCGGAGGAAGAAGGGATGTTGGGGAACGGATCCCATGGCATCGTTACTGATTCCGGTAGGGACTGTTCTGCGCAACCAGGCGGGATAGCTGAGGAGGGGGTCGAGACGTCGTTTACAGCCGTCGTCGAGATCAATGTATATTCCTCCGTAGTGTGCTAACACGAAATAGCGGATAGAATCTGCGCGTTGGATTGGGAAGGGATAGCTGTCGAATGTATCGAGAAACCAAGGATATTCCGTTGCAATGAAAGCTCTTGAGGCTTCATCTGTCCATAACTGTAATGAATTAGCATCTCATTCCCGTTCTCTTCCCTTGGTCGATTAAAGTAAACATACCTTATATTCATAATCATCATGCAGTTCAATACACGATTGTTGTCCCGCCTTCCAACGCTCAGGAATCGACTCATTGATGTATGTCTGATGAATAATTTTCGGAATAAGCTGTGTGCGATTCTCGATCAATTCGGAACCTGGCGCAGGTATTTCGGAGCGGTGAATTGCATCTGCGGCTCCATCTATGAAGAGTAATGATATGAGGGTGCTGAAGGCATTTACAAGGAAGCCAATTACTATAAAATTGATGACCAGGAATAGAAGAGTACCACGCCTCATGGTAAGGTTTGGTAGAAGAATCGAGGGCGTTATGAGCTTTCTCCCAAGGGCTTCAATTTTTCGATTGTATCGTAGTTATATCAAGTGAGGGTTATGATGGAGTTGTTCGATAAGGGGTCGTGGGTTAAGGGTCTCGAGATAACGGAGGGGTCGATTAGAGAAATTGTAGAAAACTCAAGGTGAGTAAAAATCAAGGAATTTCCAAACTCAGTTACGACATCTGTTAAAGGAGTGTTGGTAGGTAGGTAGGTAGGTAGGTAGGTAAGATTGACGTTGGTCGTAGGATTTAAAAAGGACAGGACGAGACTGTTTTTCCAAATTGGTTGAATAAATAGAAATTAATTAATAAATTTCACTAACTAATGGTAAAAAGTAGAGCTGGAAGTGAAAGGGGAAATTAATGCATCCACATCCACACGTTATGCACCAAGATAGGGATAAGAATTGATTTGCTGGGACAAAGAATATCGTATTTCGTATTTTGTAGATACTTGTATTATACTTCCTACGCCTTAGGTATTGATAAGCCTCAAATTGTGCCAAGAAATCGAATTTAATCAAGGTAAAGGATGGAAAGGTGTTAGACGTATAAATGAAGTAGGGAGAAAGATGATAGTGAAGGGTTGTACTGAAGTCTAGACTAGATGAAATTAGAACAAGTGAGAGATACAAAATAAGAAGTTCAGAAGTCAAAAATGATTAAATATTTCGCTCGGGATGATCTATAACACTACCCAAGCCATCTTATGTTAGTTGGAGGGAGAGGGGGCATTGTTAAAGGTCTATAATGTCTACCGATATGATCTATTACTGCTAGCTCACTAGAAACCCACCAGGTCTACGAAGTAGTATGCATATATCGGACTATTAAGAAAAGCCGATTTGCATATATCTAAACATTATCTCCGTCTGTATACACGGAACGGACATATTTGAAGATTTCCATCCGATATCACAATTCCATCAAACTCGCCACCCCTTTTCAAACGCTAGGTATACGCACATCTGCCTCCGCCTCTGCTTACGCCACAATATCGAAATATTAGAAAGACAACATCCCCCCAAGACACCCAAGACCCAAGCCTTCAAGCCTCGAATTCTTATTTCAGGATCTTGATGTCCTTATTGCCATCATTTCAATTCCTAATTCCCATCTAAACATTAACTTATACCAATACTACTTTACCATTTTCTAACTCTTGTCAAGCAAAACACGGGTTCATGTTTTCTCGACTAATGCCAGCCTTCGCGTGCATCAATCCCCTTCTAAATATAAGCATCAAACCATCTGCATAGTTACCAATTGTGAGATCCACAACACATCGCGGAGATAAATGTCGATGCTTTTTAGAATGTGCCGTTTTGGCGAACATTTATACCAGAAGAAGCCAACGCCGAGCGAAAACATGTCTATAAGCATAGGGGAACGTGATACTTAGGTTTCCAAGCTCCTTATTGTAATATCATGCTTCCATCTTAAGCATGGATTCACCACACAGCCTCCCTGAGATATTTTATTCTGAAGGGATACGGAGTCAATAAAAAGCAGGCCAATCCACACGCATTGCTTGATGCAGTATTGAGGAAACTATGGACAGACACAATATCTTCAGCGGACGAATTCAAGCTGCTCTGACAACTGGTTAAAGGTTCGCTGCATGAACATTTGGAGAGCCTTTGGGATTTAGTTATTTTCGCTGCGCTAGTACTGGGCCATAGGTTGGTTTAAACCCCCAACTGCAGAGGCAAAGAAGACAAAAGGCTTTGGGAACTTCAGCATGATTCCCGTTGGAGGATATAGTGCGACTTATGGCGATTAGTGTCGCCTGAGCAAATTTCTATCGTCACCATATATAACAAAATCATGAGACCTATTATGTATCAGCATGTCTCACTCCCCGCAACCACAGCATTGGCTACTCACTCGGTGGACTGATTCATCCTGGAAATCTTGTAGAATAAGAAGTTTTATGCTAGAATGTGCCCACGTTTTCACTAATCGCTCACTGTAAGACCTGGAGTCAATTTCTACTGGCACGAAGCTAATATCTATTCGAATCCCCTAGACGACATGGGCGAAAGGGTCACTGCAGTGCCAGTTCTCACCCGAATCAAAGCTCACATTGTTGAGATGTATTGTATGTACGACGTGTTGGTCTAAAGGTGGAGAGAAAATTTCAAGGTTCATGAGTTCACACCAGCTCTGAAAGAGGCAATACATGTACAAGTAAATGCACAAATGGCAAACCAAAAACTATCGACTGTCTTCGGCCAGCAAAACCGCAGGATTGGCGGAAGTTCTCCAGGCAAATGTAGGTTGAATAAATGGGAGATGAAATCTCTTGCATAGGCTGAAAAGCTAAGCAAGATGCAAATATCTACGAGACGTTCTGCTCTACGGACAAGACGTAGTCAAATAGCCAATTTATCCAAAGGGGATTCACTAATACCACCAGCTACCAAAGGAATATGCAACGATCCTAATTTTTATATTCCCGAAAAGTATAAATATCACAACATCATCCACAACAGAAGTTATGATCTTTTCTACACTCTCTATGTAGTTCAAACACCATCAATTCCTCAGCTCAACTCTCTCTCAATATACGAGTTTACCACTCAGCATATTCAAATTTCAAGTTCCCTATCTACTTCTTCTCACAACTGTTTAATTACATTACATTATTCAAGCCGCAATAAACAGATCAAAATCAAAATCAAAATCAAAATCAAAATCAAAATCAGACGATGGATACAGTTCCAGTTTCCCCCCTGCCACCGTCAATCGCTATGAACCCAATAATCATTGGGGTATCTAGAGTCCACTTAACGTACTCCATCTACAACACACCACAATCCACCTCCTATCTTCCATCTCCCCAACCTCAGATCCCCAACCTCAAATTCCTAACCTCGAATCCCCAACCTCAGATCCCAAATCTCAAAGCCCAAAGCCCCGTCCTCTTAACAAGTTTTCTACACCATCCCTTCACCAATCTCCACCCTCAAATCTCCAATCCTCTACAACCAAACCAACTACACTTCCCCAGATCTCATCATCTCACGTCTCACATCTCACACTCCACACTTCCCAAACAAAATGTATAAAAAAAGCCAATTAATATCAATGATCACTCGCTTCTCGCTTCTCGCTTCTCTTTTTCTTTTACCATGTTTTCCCGGTGAGCTTGCAGTACTTCAGTCATTCACATTATAGCTATCTACCCTTCAATCTCAATCTCAAACTCAACTCGGCAATCTAACATCGAACTCCTTGATATTTACCGAGACAGATGCGCCTTTTCAGAGAGTGCGAAATCTCGATTTGTGCAAACGTGGGAATATGTATACAAATATGCATACACTTCTACCTCCTTTTCTATTTCGTAAGACTGCAAGTTGTATAAGCTAAGTACGGATACGTGAGCGCAAAAGTGTATGGTTCACTAGAGAAATTAAAGTAAAACCTTCAATAACCTCACATCATTAAGAACGTATCCATTGCAATCAACAAATAAACAATCCCATTCCTACGTCATACTCAACCCCGGCATACTCCCAGGCATAGCATATTCATCTCTCCCTCTACTTTTCCTCCTAAACCTCAAACCATCCTCACTCGCCTCATCCGGCACATCCAAACTAACCCCCAACCTACTTCTCCCCACTCGAACCCCCGTTTCAGCCTCGACCTCCTTCCTGGCCTCCTCCCTCAAATCTCTCTCCACATCTCTACTCCTCGCCCTCCCAATACCCCCCGCATCAGACCCGGTATCCAAATCCTCCCCACCCCTCGTATTCTTCTTCCTCGGCCACAAGCTCGGAAGTTCAATTTGTTGAAACCGCGGCTCTACACATCGTTCATCAAACCAAGTATGCAACCTCGCCTCAATCAACTGCGCAATCTTCGGCACATCCTGCAATCGCGATCGACTCCCCACCAAACTGCGTATCGAAAGATCCAGTCGATAGTCATCCAAGAAACAGAAGGCCAGCGTCGTAGGACTCCCATTCAGCGGACTGCCCGGCACAAACGAAATGGACAACGTCCCACTAAACCTCACGACCGAAACCGCCAACGCCACCGGCAGCACCGCCACCAGCGGTTTCGGATAATTCAGCAGCAACTTCGTTTCCACCGCCAACGTGATAAAATCACTCAAATCCACATCCATCTTCGCCTGCAATCTTCCATGTTCTCTCCCCGCCGCCCCTCCTTCCCTCCCCAACGTCATCCCATCTTCATCCACCGGAATAACCCTACAATTACTGAAAATCGGGAAATCCTCTCCCAGACTCAATTCCGTGACTTTAATCTCATCGAGAAAATCAGGGCGATTCCCTCCATTCAACGCCTTTGTCAGACTAGTGAGAATCGCATCATCGTGCTGCGCATCCGCGCGAAATTGTGCGATAGTCTGGGCGATCAATACGTTGAACCAATCTAGACTTTCGGGTTGGTGACTATCCACATTGTAGTAAGTTTTACTCAGGATAGCATTGGTAGTCAAGGGCGCTGGATTCCTGAGAACGCTAGAGCGTTTGCGATTGAGAGGTTGGGAAGCATGGCGTGGTGTTGCACTGCGCAGAGTGAGGAGAGATCTCTTGTGTGCGAGGGTTCGGGAACGACGCTCTGTGGCTCGCAGAGCAGCAGATACATCTGGAGAGGGAGGATCGCCAAAGATGAAGAATTTGATGAAAGCTCCGATGAGGATGACGATGGAAAGTTGACCTAACAGTAGTCCTTGAGTAAATGAGAGTCTGCAAATGTATATTAGTATAAACTCATTTCAATTGCCATTCTTAAAAAAAAATATCAAGGGAAGAAGAACGAACGAGGATTCAGCCTTGTCTGGAATGGGAGCCGGGATTGTCATTTTAATTATGCGATTGAAGTGCGAACTTCATGCGAATAAGATGTGCAATAGAAGATGCAATAAAGGAAGAATCATGAATCTACAATGATTGACATGTTATAATCAGAAAGTTTGCTATGTATT